AGGGAGAGCCCTACAGTGCCACCTGTTGGTCCCAAACCAAAACTTGACATTTATGGCTCCTAACTGTAGTCGGTGTCTAAACTGACTTCAACGTGCATGACCATGCATACAAAGTGTAGATTGTCTTTTTTGCATGTAAGATAAAAAAAACCGTTATTGTCTTACAATGGAGAATTTTGCTGTGTACAGCAGCAAATAAATACACACTAGGTATGTTTTATCTCTCTCTCTCTCTCTCTCTCTCTCTCTCTCTCTCTCTCTCTCTCTTATATATATATATATATATATATATATATATATATATCTGTGTGTGTGTGTGTGTGTGTCTGTCTGTCATTAAGATACATTGTTGTATGGCTAGGACTATATTTATACTTGCCATGGACCAACAGGCAAGATCTTGAATCTGGAATCTGTCCCCTTTTATTCCTTAAATTTGATGTCAATTTTCCTGTGGGCCCATTCAAATGCTGCTTTTGTTTTTTTGTTTGTTTGTATGTTTGTTTCTTTCAACTTTGTTGTTTGCTATTATTTTGATGTAATTTTGAATACTGCTGCTGTGACAATCTAATCGCATCCATCCATCCATCCACAGTGTTTGTCTCTCTGTCTGTCTGTCTGTTGGCGCCCTTGGGTTGATCCTGGGTTAATTAAGTGGTCTTTTTTTTTTGGGAAGCGATTACATAATATTGGGTAACAGCGATGACAAGATTGAGGAAGATGAGGTAGAGAACCAGTGGGCTGTGGAGATAATGGGAACAGATAAATGAAGAATTCATGACGAAGCCTGAACATCAGCTCAGTTCATGACTAATACGACTATACTCAGTGGGTAGTGCAGAGCTGACACAATTAGAACAGGATAGCTCACATATTCAAATTCACAAGCACTACTTCAGGGCTGGAAGGTCCCAGCACAATAGACCCAAGCAAACCAACTGAGGTCGCCAGCCAAATCACGATTGATTAGGCTTGTATCCATGCAAGGCTGCATTTTATACAACGCGACCACTTTCAATCCTATACACTCAAAACCCCTCATTCCCTTTTGTGTATGAATGCCCTCATCAATAGGCCTCATTAATAGGTTAAAACTTGGCACTCTTCACGACAAGTAATGTCATGATTTGTTTATATTCTGCTTCTCGTCACTGTTTATTCCTCACCCTGAAAATTATATGAACAAGTGTCAGAACTGTTTAATGTGGAACACAGTTTTTCACAGGCATTGTGTAGGAGGATCACTTTCACACAAAGCTAATTCTGCAGCAACTGTGTTTGACATAACTGCTTTCTGAAGTTTTATAATTATTGCTGACATTTGCATGGCTTAAATAATTCAGATTTTTTTTTAAACCCACCCTACAATCAGAATGTGCGCATACTGTCCGTCAGCGGTCCCCAACCTTTTTTGCCCGCGGACCGGTTTAATGTCAGACAACATTTTCGGGACCGGCCTTCAAGGCCGGATAAATACAACAAAGTAATATGACCTGCATGAAAACTGTGGTGTTTCTAACCATAATAATAAACACAAACATATCTGTCCTATGGTAACGTTTAAACGTGCCTTCAAATTAAGGTACATCGCAAATACAAAGTGCATGAAAAATACGACTCACCATTATTATGCAGAGTGGGCTTGGTGCATGGGAATCTCCCATTGAGATAAATCCGTATTTTAAGTAGGACTCCAAACAGTGTCTATTAAATGTAGCCTTCTTTTTTTGGAAGTCGGAGGCTCCCCTTCTGTCTCCTGGCTGGGCCTTTCCCCTTCCCAAAGAAACTTTCCAAAGACATTTGTTTTTTACTCATTTTGCGAGCTGCGGGGTTTCATTTTAGCGGTAACCTATCAGGTGACCGCGTCAACAGTGACATACTGTAGACGAATGTAACAGAGAATCCAGCAATTTTTCAAAACAAAACATCTTTCCGATTCAAAAATAAATAAAACGAAAGTAATGTAAGTTTGTATTCTTTCTGCATGGCCCGGTACCAAATGACCCACGGACCGCTACGGGCCCACGGCCCCAGGGTTGGGGACTTTGCTGTACTTTACATAAGTGTTTTCACACTATAGCAAATCAAAGGAGTAAATCCACCAAAAGTAGGAGTCCATCCAACAGCTGCTCGCAAATCAGAGGTAGAGGAGAGCTCCTCTTGTCTAGTATTAGGGTGGTGACAAATCCATGCACCCGATATACTGTATATCGTGTAGGTATTAGACATGCAGAGATGAAAGGGGACTTTCCTGAAAATTCCGGAAAATATTTTGATATATAGAAAATGATTTAACTGACGACTATTGTGCATATGTCAGCTTGCCTGTCGACCTGTTTGCGACATTGCGCTGGGGCCGTACCTGGCCGATCACGCATGAATTAGTTTACACAAAACGGTATTCAAATACTCGACATTCAATGATTAATCTGCCTTTTGTGTGCACACGTGCAGCCTTTGTGGCTTCCGTTCTCGCCGAAATTTCGAAATCTTTGAGATATGGCGAGGCCATGAGAATGCAAAGGGAGGGGTGTTACTGTTACTCATGTTAGTGCCTCAACATGGCTACGCTCATGAAAGCAAAATTTGGACAAAAAGGGAAACACACAGATTAGCAGAAAAAGGTGTCCCGTCCGACCTCGAGCGTCATGTCGTCTTTGCTATCTTTGCTGTTGTCGTAGAGCAAAGCTTCTTTGATCTGTGCCGTCGGTTGCGTCGGCGCTGATGGGTTGAAACCAAAAGACGCGTGCGTACGTACATGTTTGCACTGACGCACACACAGCAGAGAGCAGTGGACTATCAAATGCTGAGGTGCGCTTTGCTCAAGTGGTATTACTACAAGCAAAACAACGAACTCAAACGCGTGTTCGTTCACTGTTGTCAAATAATATCCGGATTAATTTTAGGCAATTTTTCCTCAATTTTCCAGAGGAACTTTCATGAAAATTTGAAAATCCGGAATTCCGGGAAAATCAGGAGGACTTTCATCACTGGACATGGTGAAAAAAAGCATTAATTGAGAAAGGGTTTAAAAAAAAAAAAAAGATTGACGCTGGGCATGGCTTCAGCTTCTGCAGTGTGCTCAAGGAAATTGGCATACAGGATTAGCGGAAAGGCCATGCAACTGGCCACAAAGCTTTGGTTCGTGTTACGACCACCCCATAGTTACAGAGATGTTTCCGTCTTATATAATATATAAAATATATCTGAAAATATACTCTGACTCAATGCTCAGCATGGATTTGAACCATTGATAGTAGATTATTTTTAAATTAAGATTATGGTTGGGTATTGTTTCAATGTGGATGATTTTGGTTCCGATTCCCATTCCTTATGATTCTTGATTCCAATTCTTTAAAAAAAACAAAACCAAAACTTTTTACTGTTACTATGAGTGACTCAAAGGGCTGTTTTAACTAGTGTACTGATTTTCCACGAGTGCTTTATTTTTGAGAACCTCGTGAAAATACAATAATATAGCAGTTACTTGGAGCATGCTACGAAACATCGATCGGTGGGCTAACTTAGTGTTGCTTTTCTTCAGGAAGAAAAAATATAGATGACAAACACAAAGCTGCATTTGAGGGGCAAGCAAGGAAATGTATCGAATGCAAGCACTTGATGTGCTGTGTATGTATAGCCTATAAATGGATGTGAATGCTGTATATGCTACAAGACAAATCAGGGATGGGCAAGTGATTTTGCAAAAGGGCCACATGAGAAACTGGAACGTTTGCCAAGTCAACATGCTAACTTCAGCTTTGTGTATATTTTTCATGGATTCAGAAAAAGCTTGTTTCAATAAATTGCTACATACGTAAATATGGTATGTGTTATTATTTGGAAATGCAAACTAAACAAAACTATAAGCGTTCATTAAAATTGCATCGTTACACTTTAAAAATAACAATTTTCTGCATGAACAGTCAGCTGATATGAGCGATTCCTCATCATGACTCCCAAATATAATATAATGAATCTAAAATATTATTGACAGCGATGTATAATGATCGTGTGATGACTAAAAATAATCTTGACATTTATATGAAATGGTAACTTTGTATGCAGGCCAAATCTTCTTGGTCCTCTTGCCCCACTGTGCAGGAAGTAAGAACGTTGTGAACATTAAGACCACTGCAGTCATTTTTGATGGTCTCTTTTTTGGAAAATTTGTTGCTGAGTGGTTGGAAAAATTGCTAAATAATGGGAAAACATCGCTAAATTGGCAGCGCTGCAGGCACAAGTCATAGATGTGTACAAGCGTGCAAGTGTGCACATAAAATAAAAGCACAAGTTTCAAACTAAGCGCCACATATTTTACATTTTGACTTCATGGTCACTGTGAGGGCGGGACAGAGATTGCAGGCGGGCCGATGTGGCCCCTGGGCTGTGCTTTGCCCAAATCCGAGCAAAATAGTTGTCTTTTGCATTTGTGTTTTGACTCACTGCTTTACTTCCAGTTTAACTTGTTGGCTCAATGTTGTCATTAGATCTACCCGATTCTAATGTCAGACCCCGCGGAGGGCGACCGCCACCATCGCGGGGTCTCGGCAGATGCCACAGATGGGGATATCTGCGGGAAGGGCCCAGCGTACGCCCTGAGTCGCCGCTGCGGCCTGCGTGTGCCGTTTGGGCGCCTGATAGGGATTGGGCGACGGCGCCGATTGGAAAGAGGAGAGGACGGCGGGTACGAGCCCCGCCAAGCTGCCATGCACCTGTGCCGTGACTTTGTTAGTGGGAGGGGCCTGCACCACACACAGACAGGTCCTTCTTTGTTCATGCTTCTTCCGCGCGGCTAACTAGAAATTCAGCACTGACATTTTAAAATCTGAACGATTCTGAGAGAACCGTAATATTAGTCTTGGGTCCATTCGATTCTTGTTCATAGATGCCCAAGCCTCATTAGGATACATCTTTAGTTACCTGCCTGTATCACCTAAGTGAGTGTGGAAAACATTACAACTTAAGTACAAATAATGTATTTGTGAATGCCATCTTACCTCTTGGGGAGTGATGTCTCCATGTGATGCTCGCCTCTGGCCGACCCATCGCAAAGCACATCAGATTGACGTTGCTGCCTTCATTTACTGTGATGTCCTTCGATATATTAGTGATCCTGGCAGGTACTGAAAAGAGAAATGGCAAATTATGACTGACTACGAAAGAAATGGCATGTGAGCGATGGGTACTCTAACCCAGGGGTCCCCAACCGCCGGTCCGCGGACCGGTACCGGTCCGCAGGGCATTTGGTACCGGGCCGCACAGAAAGAACTTGCCTTAATTCCGTTTTATTTATTTCGGAAGACGAAAGATGTTTTATTTTGAAAAATTACCGGATTCTCCGTTACATCCGTCTGTGTCACGCTTGACAAACGTCAAGCCACACTTCTCCGTCACGTGACCGATTACGCTAAAAACAAAATGCCAGAGCTCGCAAAAGAGTAAAAAAACTGCTGGAGATCGCAAATGACGGCGGCCTTAAAAGTACGTTTGAGACAACTGGATGAAATTTATGGCTGAATATTCTGAGATCGCCACAGTAGCACTGTTGCTATATCCGACATGCTACCTGTGTGAGGCGGGGGTTTTCTGCAGCAACGGCGACTAAAACAAAATTACGAAGTAGATTGAACATAAAACACACATTTGAGGTGTCATTGTCTCCTATTACCCCGAGATGGGACCGTCTGGTTGCAGAAAATCAAGCTCGGGGCTGTGGTGAGTCGTCATTTTCATGCACTTTGAATTTGCATTGTGTCGTATTTTGAAGGCATTAAACATTACCATAGCGATCAGAGTGTTGCGGCCAGATTAGACGCTCCTTGTATTTCGAAAACGCCACAGTTTTCATGCAGCTCATACCATATTATTTTGTTGTATTATTTCCGCCACACCTTAAATGCCGGTCCCTGAAAATATTGTCTGACATAAACCGGTCCGTGGGGCAAATAAGGTTGGGGACCCCTGCTCTAACCCACGTGAATAAAAAAATCATAAATGAGGTTGAAAATAACTGCTGGTTTGGGACTCAATTAGCCCGCACTAGATGATAAATTCAGTGACACATGACTAACTTCCTTTATTAGGATCATTCGTAAAATGGTCTTTTGACAGCCATCCATCAATTTTCCGATCCGCTTATCCTCACAAGGATCACAGGGCATGCTGGAGGCTATCCCAGCCGTCTTCGAGCAGTAGGCAGGGCACACATAGACAAAGACCTATCGCGCTCACACTCATATCTAGGGACAATTTGGAGTGTTCCATGTTTTGGGAATGTGGGAAGAAACCGGAGTACTTGGAGAAAACCCACGCAGGCACGGGGAGAACATGCAAACTCCACACAGGAAGGCCGGAGCCGGAATTGAACCCTGCATCTTTGCACTGTGAGGTCAACATGCTAACCACTCGACCGCCTCTTTTGACAGCCATGCAAACGGAATTGGACAGAGAACTTGACAACAAACCAACTGTTATGACCTCTCCACATGATGGCAACTGGGGAAGGGTCTAACATAAGTGTGGCAGGTGGGGAGGAGCAAAGAGTGGTTCGCTGTCATGGTTTGGACTATCTAGCGAGTACTCTCACTTTGGGGACAAGCGAGTAAGATCACGGTGGGGGACACACACCACAAGAGGAAGAGATTGGAGTGAACAATCCTGAATTCCCACTGCCTTAGTGCAGCCCAGATAAAAACTGGAAATGAATGAACCAAAACAAATATTGGCAAAGTTCCCTAACGCATGAATGAATAATGGACACGAATGAACATGATAGATAGATGGATATGGCGAGGAACTAATTTGCCTGCACTAATCGAGAGGCAGCGGTACCGAAGACATACGAGGAAGACTGGGGCTGACGATCACAACAAGATAATACGACACAACCCAGTTGTTAATAGGGGGCCACTCTCCCCTGCACTGATTGGTCGGCCAAATTGTGAACACGGGACAACAATCAGCAAAGAGCAAAGGGATGAGCTCCCGCACACATGCAAAGATCAACCACAACACAAACGAAATAAATAAATAAACAGCCACAAAATATCGTGGACCGTAACACCAACTATAGATGTAAATATGGTTAATTAAATTCTAACATTTCACGTGATTGAGCTGCTGATCACTTGGATTGAAATTACACGATATTGACTGTGTACATATTTGAATATACTTAATTCAATGGAGCAAGGAGAAAATGTGAATGCTTTCTTTAATTATTATGACAAGTAGGGCCGACTGATAAGGATGGGCCGGTAATCATTTCGATATCCGACCAAAAAAAAAAAAAAAAAATTCCAATTAATCATCCGATTAAATAAAAAAATATAATGAAGAAACAAACTTTTTTTTTTTTTGGTTACCATAAATATGTAATAAACAATGAAGCGTTTTCCCTTAAAATGACATGAAACTAACTGCCATTTTGCATTACTTTTTTACATTTGTTCATAAAATACACAACACACAATAAAATGATTTCAACTCAATCATTCCCCACCGCATGTTTTTTTTTTCATAATCCAACTGTTTAGCGCCGTCCACGATTAAAACTCAAGTATGGCATTTTAAATTTATTTATTTATTTATTTATTTTTTAATCCATTGCACGCAGGAAGACCTCATGCAATTCCCCACCAAGTATCAACATTAAAAAGGATTGCAATGAGGTGCAATCGCCAACTATTTCCTTTGATCAGATCATAGACGCTATTGCTTGTAGAGCAGAATTAAGCCCACGGAGAAGGAACTAACATGGCCTTGCAAAGGGAACGTTAAGAGCAAAGCAATCAAAAAATGGAGCACCTGACACTTGATAACAATCTCTTCAGGGTTGAAGCCGCAGAGAAAGTTGATCAAAATAATGATGCTGCGAGCATGCGTGAACCTTACAATACTCTTCTGATCCTCCATTAACCATTGGATGATGCAGTCGGAGATGAGTGGCATGGAGGGGAACAAAGCGGCAAGTGTTTGACGACCTCACAGTGCTTTTAAACCAAGGCCACATCAAGTAGAGATTTTTTTTTTTGTGTGTGTGTGACACACTGATCCTGACTCTAATGAGGAATCCATCCCCTCAGGGTTGGGCGAGAGCAGCAGAGACACATCCCCTGGGCCCCCACAAAAAGACAAGAGGGAAGGGCGAACTTGTTCCCGTGCTAACTTTAGTAACTTGATATCGGTGGTCGACTGTTTGGCACGTCCCGCCTCACAGTACAGAAGTCCATGATTCGATTCCGGGCTCCGACCTTCCTGCGCGCAGCTCTCTGGGTACTCTGGTTTCCTCCCACATGCCAAAAACATGCATGGCAGGCTTATGGAACACTCTAAATTGTCCCTATGTGTGACTGTGAGTGTGTGTGTGAATGGTTGTGTTTATCTGTGGGTCCTGCAATTGGCTGGTAATCAGTCAACCCTGCTCACTGCCCGATGATAGCTGCGATAGCATCCAGCACGCCCGCGACCCTTGTGAGGATAAGCGGTTCAGATAACGGATGGATTACCCCTTTCACATGCCCATCAGCCTATGTTACATGAATATACTATGCTGTCTATAATATAACATCTATTGCCAGTTCTCATGTGTGTACTCTTCATATGAATTATGTAAATGTGGAGTTATATATAGCACTGCACACTAAAGCTAAAACCGCTGAATGAATTAGCAGAGATAAATTGGATGACTGCAAAAAGGTTGGTGTAAACCATTGTAAATGTAAGTCTCAAGTGCAGAAAATCTCATGTGTGTGACTACAACAAGAACAACAAAAGTGCTTTTTGGCAATGTACATACTTCCATACATTAGGTTGTGCATCTAGCACCAGAAGCGCTCCCATTCCTTCTGTTGGCAGGGTAAGGAGAGATAATATTTTTGCTTGACTTCATTTTGCAACAACCAACTATGGTTTTATGATAATTTTCTATCACCATATTGCACAGGCCATACAGACATCTGGATTATTCTGGCGGGCATCATGCTGACAGGGGCAACCCCCCATCTTAGTCAATGAACCGAAAACATTTTTGGCACTGACTTTTTCTTTTGGATTTGTACAAAAAAAACACCATGTTTTGAGGTGGTGAACACTATGGTGCCCTTGCACAAATGAGATCGTTTATCAAATCCCCACCCACCACCCCACATATGCTTCAAATGGTCGAAGTGCATGCACTCGCACAAACAAGTATGCACACACACTTGTCCGCACCTGTATGTAGCACAGTGCTCTCCATTTTTGGCAAATGTTAAAATTATAAATAGCGTATTGTCCGCACGATAAGGCGCACCAAAAAGCATTCAATTTTCTCAAAAGCCGACAGTAAGCAGAATAATCCGATGCAGTTTGCATTCGTTTTTTTTGTTTGTTAATTGAATATAAAAACATATACAGTAATAAATTCACAGAAAATAAAGGTAAGAATTGTATTGTATTTTCTTACCGTAGCTCCATCTAGTGGATGCATAACGCAGCCACACCCACTATTGTAGCTTCTATTCTATGTGCCTTATAATGCGGTGTGCCCTATATATGAAAACAGTTTTTACATAGCCATTCATTGAAGGTGCGACTTGTACATCGAAGTGCCTTATTGTGTAAAAAATATGGTACATAGATGCTTGAACAGGATTTTTTTTTTTTTAAGAAAAATTACTTGTTCAGGTTCATTTGATGTTGTTTCTTTAGAAGTACTATTTATATGTTTGAACGATCATAAAATCAACAAATACGAGTGTCAAAGTTGAAGTCTTACGTGAAATATGTCTTTTCATAAAACGAAATGATAAATTGGCTCTGTTGCAAATAGCTGCCATTGAAGGAAATAAGTAAATACATAAAATGAAACATAGATATCCCAATCAAAATCTGTAGTTGTACAACTTTTCAAGAAATACAGGTGCACTCCAACATCACTTCCCTTACCTTGCCTTTGATTGACTGATTCTTCCTTTTTCCCTGTGACCAGCGTTTTGGACTTTGTCGGTTTTGCGTTTTTGATAATAAACATCTTTGCTTTCGCATTTAGTCTGTGTCTGCATTTCTGGGATCCTAAACATTATTCGGTTCATTTCGAACCGAACATCATGACCTTTGGAGTGAGGACTAGTGACAGTCATTC